GACCTACAGCAAACATAGATTTATAAAATTGAACGAAACGCCAATGTATGAATAAAATCCGAGTTACACACTGACCTACAGCAAACATAGATTTATAAAATTGAACGAAACGCCAATGTATAAATAAAATCGAGTTACACACTGACATACAGCAAACATAGATTTATAAAATTGAACGAAACGCCAATGTATAAATAAAATCCGAGTTACACACTGACCTACAGCAAACATAGATTTATAAAATTGAACGAAACGCCAATGTATAAATAAAATCGAGTTACACACTGACCTACAGCAAACATAGATTTATAAATCTGAAGTAAATTGACATAAAATATATTAACATTTTTCCCATCTGATTGATATTATGTTCCCTTCTTTGTTTATTTTATTATTATTATTAATGCGATCAGAAATTTGAAAAGACAAAAATTAATAAAACAAAGATACAGTAAATTAGCTCTTAAGAATAAGTTAGTTAAATTACAGGTAAGATATGAAAATAAAATAAAATGACAAGATAATAAATAAAGAAAATGACTTTAGGGCTTTAATTTGGTTTAGTTATTGTTATTTCTTACTCTTTTTTTCTTAACTCAACTATATTTTCAGTTCAGAATTAATTTATGTTTGTGATTTGATTGTTTTATTCATATATCTGTTCCTTCATTTAACTGTTCATGATAAATAACCATTTAATTACAAACTAAAGAAAAAGTACTCGATTTTACAAAACAACTAATTCATAAAAGCACCAACAACATTCAGATCAACACTTAATCTTTAAATAGCATCACTCCTTAACCTGATTCACACTTATCCTAAATAGCATTGCCATCCTCTCGTAACCTCATTCACACTTAACCTAAATAGCATAACCATCTTCTCTTATCCTGTTTCTCAAGTAACCTAAATAGCATCACTATCCTCTCATAATCTGATTCACACTTAATCTACATAGCATCAACATCTTGTCCTTTCCCTGTTTCTCAAGTAACCTAAATAGCATTACCGTCCTCTCGTAACCTGCTCGGTCCATCGGACCGACCTTGTAACCATTTTGTGCTTGTTATAGTCTTCATACTATAACCTTTAAATTAGTATGTTAACAAAATTTGGCAGATTATTAGTTAACATTACAATACATTCATACAAAAAATATAATTTTTTTATTAATTCTTAAGGTCTGTTAAGCAATGTTTTTCTTATACCTTTTTTTCTCACGTGTTACCTATTCAACATACAAAGTAACTTTCATTTTAAGATTAAAAATATTTTTATGGATCAGAAAATTTTCAAACTTCAAATGCTAAATCTATATAATGTCCAGATAGTTATCAAATGTTTCATAAAGAAAAACTTTATATTTTTTCTGTTATTTTCACTAACGAATCAATACAGGGTTCGATAGATTTGACAGATCTCGTAACCAACATAAAAATTAGGAAATAAACCGTATCCAGTAATATAAAACTGACCTTTAGTCTTTACAAAGTGACCCTGTCTTGGCTGTGTTTTAGTAGACTAGTATTTAGTA